ACAAAGAATTAAATAGCAATGTTAATATGATTAATGGCGAAATCACTTTATTAACAGGATGTAATGAGAGAAACTTACCATCAATTTCTTTGAATAATAAGATCCTTATATTCAAGTTGTTGTCAGATGGAAAACACATACACATGCCAAGTACTTTCGACAATTTCAAATTGTCATCTTCAGGGTACAATTTTCCCATACATAGGCAAACACTAGAATGAAATATGTGTAAATGTTTTTTATTAAATTATACTATTTATTGACAGTTGAATATATGTTTTGGAGCATGCAAATCAATCAAGTCAGAATTTTGTCTGAATTTTGAAAAGTTATAAATCCACAAAATCTTCTTGTTATATGTATTTATCTGTTGAAGTGAAATGGACTTAGTATAATCTACTTAGTAGAGTAAGAATCTCTTAGTAGTTTTCCACAGAATTTCAGATTCTGATTATTAGTGTGCTGTGGATCTGATGTCATAAGTATATTAGAGTGTATTTGAACAAGAACTCTAGCATTGCAGCATTGCAAGTTGTCAAATCTCATTCAGCTTTTTAATGCTTTTAGTTTTATTTGTCTTTCTACCACTTTTAAATATTCCATATTGTAACTACAATAGATTTGTGAGGGAAGGAGATATGTTGTATGATTCTGAACATAAATTTACCATGGAAAACTCAGAAATTAGTGCACTTTCAATACATATTTTACCTTAACAAATTACTCTTTTAATTAAAACTACATTCTTTAAGCATATATAATGATATACTTTTTTTATGTACTATGTCTTCTTTTTGATCATCGTTATTGCTTTTAAAATATCCCACATTGTCATAGCAGCAGTTTTGCGAGGAAAAGAGATATATGATCCTGAACGTATATTTACTGTGGCAGATTCTTTTGTTACTCTAAATAAACTTGTGTCTTTTTACCAACACTCTTTGTCCCTACTCTGCCATCCATTCACACAATTTCATTAAATAGGTTACTTGTTCTTTTCCCCTGTTTCTCTTGCCTTCACTATGTCCTATGAGTGTTAAATTTGCTAGACCCTCTTTCCTAATTATGCGTTTCAGAAATTTCAATGGTTTCTTTTGAATTGTAAGTAGAATGTGTCCTTTTCATATTTTTGCTAAAGCTTCCTTGTTGCCTGTATGTTCAGTCCATACTCAGTATTCATCTGTAAAACTGCATCCCTGTCGATTCATCTCTTCTTCATCTGTGAAGAGTTTTTCCAGCATTCATTGCCATATATGAAAACTAGATGTTAATATTTGTTTTCTAATTTCAAACATATGAAAATTATAATTTTTCTTATAAACATTGGGGATTCTAAGTATGATATAAATTCAAAAGAAAAACACGATGTTATAAAATTATTGAGTGATATGAACGCAACATCGGAAATCACAAAAAAGTTGAACAGAAATCAGAAAACAATCAAAAAAGAAACTGGTAAGATAACAAATAAAATATTAGCTTTAAGAATATCATAACAAGAGACTTGAGAAAAATGAAAAGGGTAAGAAGCAAGAAAAATAGGTTGACTAGCAAAAGAATTATTTGAAGAATCTTACCTTGTGAATGTAAACAGAAAGAAAAGATAAAAAATAATAAGAAGGTTGGCTAAAGGCATGAAAGCAACCAAACTACAAACTGTTAAATATGTATCACAAAGAGAAATATATAAGCAAAGAAGTACTTGAAAACAATAATTCCTAAAGCTATACTGGATGGATCTGATGGCCTGACTAAATGTTGGGTAATTCCTGGAAATAATCAATCAACATGACTTAGAAGACAACAGGACATAGATAAATTCTTTTGTCTAGTATTTTATCTAGCAAAATTCTTTCACATGGTCTACTGCTTTGTGGAACAGACTCCTGGGGGTGCTTCTCTGACCACTACAATCTTAAGTTTTCCAATTTAGAGTCAACCATTATCGATAATATATATCCATATATTGTCAATGCTACATATTATTATATTCATAAAACAACCTCAGTCACTAACCCTCTACATTGAGTGGTTCTTGGGCCTTGTATTTGGTGAATAATAGAGTAAAAAAGTTCTCTTCAAAATTGAAGATGCTTCAAGATAAATGAGAAGAATTATTGCAAGTGATTGGACAAAATGTTTTTTTTTCATGATATTTTCATGCTCCTTGACATTCTATAAAGCTGACAGCTGTCAAACTTGCCAAAAATGAGTTTAAAGACTCCAAATTAAGGAAATGACCCCCAGCATCACCAGATATTAATGCAATAAAAAGTTGTGTCCATTCATTAAAAGAGGTGTATGGGAAAATTTGACAATATTCAAGCAAAAATCACTGGAAAACAATAAAAAGTGCTACAAATAATATTAAAGTTGAAATAAGAGAAAAGTTGTTTTTTTTAACCATTTCACACCAAGCAAGGCAGTAAAGTCACTAAGAAACTAAGAGGTTACTAAGTGTGAGAGAATATGAGAAAAAGGAACATTATTAAGGAGAGAGAACAATAAAAGAGGAGGAATCAAGAAGACAGTAGATAATGATTGACATCATATTTAAATTTCTAAAAATCAAAGTAGACTGGAAAGCAAAAAGCTGGAAGAGAGATCCACAGGCAAGTAAAGGAACTGTTAATAAATAACTTACTGTTATATCTAACCATTTTAACAATAAAATGATGAGACCTAACTGCCATTTGAGTACTGTGTTGAAATTCATTAAGTATTAGAAGCAACCATTATCGATGCTATATATCCCTATATTGCCAATGCTAGATATTATTACACCCATAAAACAACCCCAGTCACTAATCCTCCACTCTGAGAATATGGTTTATAACCATGAAAATATTTGTAGAAAAGACACAGGGAAGATACATTGCAGCAGTGGGGAAAATGATTGAAGCAGAGATGCCAAGTCAGGACCAATGACATTGCAGATTCTTTTTTGTATTTTATCAAAAAATCCCTAAATATATAGCAGAAGTAAGAGACAAGATGTGGTAGCAATATTCAATGCCTGGATGAATGGCAGACTTATAAATATGTAAGATAGATTCTGGAGACAATAATTGTCTAGCATGACACAGTTAACCAACTTCCCTAGCAGCAGACCTAGCAATATCATCTTTCCATTTCTTGTCAATGGCAAATGTTAGCACAAGAAGGCACAATGAGTTACTCTTGTAGAGGTTAGACTCAGCTATGCTGATGGAAGGTAGAAAGAGTTCTCTTACATGATTAATAGAAAACTGTTTTATTTTGGAGGCCTTAAAATGAACAAGTCATTTCTTGCCCCAGTTAACAGTAGATTTTAGGTCACTTTTTGAGATCAGCTGCCAATTTGACCATATCAACTTACTATTACTTACTATTAAGACAGGAGTAAATAGTTGTGTCATCAGCATAGATACTGAGTTAAGAGCTGAAGCCATCAAGAAGGTCATTGATGAAAATTAGGAACAACGTAGGTTCAAGGATAAAACCCTGGGGAACAACTGTATTAATGCAAAAAGATTTAGAAGAGAGGCCATTCATGACAACTTTCATTGCACAAATTGATAAGAAAGATTGAATCAAATTAAAAATTTATCCTGATATACCATAACTATTCAATTTGTGAAGAAGATCAGTATGCCAAACCCTGTCAAACACCTTTCTTATCTAAAGCTTGATAAACAATTGTTAACGTATCAGCATTTGAACCAGAGAAAAGATATTGCTCATCTGAAAGAAGACCCTTTGAGGTGAGATTCTTAACCAATTCAGAGTTAATTAGAGCCTCTAGTTCTTTGCTAAAAAGATGTAGAAAGCTAATAAGCCAGTAATTGGAAGGATGTGATCTGTGATCCATTTGCACAAAGTAGGTTACTCATTCTTTCCCTCTGTCCCTTTTGCCTTTACTATGTAATGTGAATATCAAATTCTCCAAGCCTTCTTTCCTTATATATCCTAGAAACTTCAACTGTCTATTTCTATTCTCATGATCCTTCTATTAAACCACATCCTTTTTGTTTACATTATCCTTAAAACTTCCCTGTTATTCACATATATAGTCACTGGTATTCTCACCATCCGTCTGTAGAACCACGTCTCTGTTGCCTTAAGTCTCCTCTTCATGTCTGCGGAACTGTCCAGCATTCACTGCCATATATGGAGAATTTGTATGACACAATAATTCAGCATTTTTCTCTTTGTTTCTTAAGAAAATTTATTTTTTGTTCCTGTTATTCTTTAAAAACTTCCTCATTTCACATTCTGCATTGATTACATGCTCTGGACATGGCATTCTTAGCATCCTTCTATAGAACCACAATTTTTATTGCTTCAAGTCTCTTCTTCATCTGTGAGGAAATGGTCTAATATTCATTACCATATAGGAGGAGTGATTTTACATCACACTCTTCCACAATATGGGCTGTTTACTAAACTTTATTGCCTGGTTTCAAATTTAAGGATTTATAGTGATACACAAATCATACTTATTTATCGAGAGAATCTCCAATTGATCATTATTATTTTTTTACTCTCATGGGTTACTGCACACACACACTTGCACACTTGCAGCCATAATTAAATATTAACAATTTGATTCCTTTTCTACCTTTCAATTTCTACTTTAATCTTCTCTATAATCTGACAATTATAAAACATTTTATTGCATGATTCAAGTTACTTGAAAATCAACGTTACAAATTATCCATTAATGAATTAATTAAAAAGGAGTGGATAAAATCATATTTACCACAAAATGCTTTAAACTCTGGCAAGCCTAACAGTTTTTGACCAATCAGAATTTACTTTGCAGGGACTGGAAACTATTACCAATTATAATTGTGTGTCCTTTGCTCCCTCCATCCTAATGCAGACACACAACTGAAAGAAAACATACTCTTGAGGCAAAGGAAAATATCATAGTAAAAAATACAGGTTCTGTAATAAACATAATCCACCTTCCTCATCTCTTTCAAGAGAGATTTGTCTACAACCACATCATGTTGAAACATTGGTTCACTGAAGTTAAGCAACATTGAGCTGGGTCAGTACTTAGATGGGTGACCACTTAAGAATACTAGGTGCTGTAAGCTTGGATGTGTGGCTGGTGTAAGGGATAATGGCTTGGAATTTTTAATCAGAGAGCCAAGTTCCAATTCTTGTTGTGTTCATTATATTCACTTATGTGCAAATACTATTGAGAAAGATATAAATATCTACCTCATCTCACACAGTTATGTGTTAAGTAGTAACACTTGTATCACTAAAACCATTATTATCTCAAAATAGTTATTAAACTATTTTCTGGCTTTAAATAACCTACAAAGGGTTGATAAGCCATAGAAAATAAATCAGGCAATCAATCAGTTCAAGAGACATTTGTTTGTAGCTTTGCTTTTTCAATATTTTCTTTCAATGTAAGTAAATAAGCTATGAAATAGGAGGATTAACTATCACTAGATATTCTTAAGAGTTGTTCAAGTCTTTTATGGAATACAGCTTTGAAATGATAATTATTATTACAAACATTTCAATAAGTGGATCATAGCCCCCAAAATTTTAATTTCAACATTCATCTTTTCACATAATCAAATCTAGTTTTAATGAAACATTTTTCATTTGTCAGATTTCTTATGTATATACAGTGTATCACAAAAGTGAGTACACCCCTCACATTTCTTCAAATATTTAAGTATATCTCTTCATGGGACAACACTGACAAAATGACACTTTGACACAATGAAAAGTAGCCTGTCTGCAGCATATATAACAGAGTTAATTTATCTTTCCCTCAAAATAACTCAAAATATAGCCATTAAATCTAAAATCCCTGGCAACAAAAGTGAGTACACCCCTTAGGAAAAGTTGTCAATATTAACATACAACATGTCAACTGTCAATATTTTGTGTGGCCACCATCATTATCCAAAACTGCCTTTACTCTCCTGGGCATGGAGTTTACCAGAGCTTCACAGGTAGTCACTGGAATGCTCTTCCACTCCAAGGTTCTTCCATTTCTCCACCACTTCTCTATATATTTATATTTTTCTTGATATCTATATCTTCAAAGATTTTCTTGTCAATTCACTTTTATTTTTTTTTTCAAATCTCTTTAACATCCTTTAGTTCTACCAGTTAACCAACTCTTAATTGCTGTTGTTCCCAGGTCTATCCTGACCTGGTGTGCTAGTGCCTGTTAAGGTCCCAGCTATGGGCAAATAGTGACCTCCAAGCAAAAACAAAACAATATGAAAATATAACAATACATTTTAATAGTAAAAATACCAGCAATACATTTAAAAGAAAAACATTACTAACAATATATATTTATAGTAGAGTTACCAAAAATATAGGAGAATTAACAACATTTTTTTCTGTCGTTGAAGGCATACAAAATATATTTAGTTGAAACCAGAAAATTGTGTCCAAAATATTTAGATTTTGGTAATAAATAAACCATAGTGGTTGATATGTCGTGAAATAAAATCAACCAAAGAAAACCAAACCCAATTATTAGAATCTTCACCTCTTCAAGTTAGGGTTGAACTTCATCTCTCCTACGTAACTTTATAAACTGCACTTCTTACCTTTTCCTCTTAAACTCATATATAAACATGATTCAATAAGCGTCTTCCTTGAGTGGCTCTTGAGCCAAGTATTGGATGAGGATTAGTGTAAAAAATCTTAAATTCAGTTTTTTACCTGTTCTTATCTTGCAAATGTTTTCCTTTTCTTTTTGTCTGATGATTATATATATATATATATATATATATATAGTCAATGACAAAATTATTAGTACACCCATCAATTCTGAATATTTTTATCCGTTTCTCAGTATCTAATGCCCATATGATGCCATGTTTTTTATATGTTAATAAGCTCAAGAAAAAGGAATATAAAACTCAATTTTCAGAACAATAGTTTAAATACAACAAATTTGACAGGCAAATTATGCAAAATAGGAAATGACAATTATTTGTACAGTATGAAAAATAGAAAAAAATTGAACAATTTTCACAATAATAATAGTCAATAGCATGATCTTTCATCTTTACAATTTGCTATAATCAATTTCTAAAGTTTTTGATGAGATTTGAACAAGTCTTTTCTGGGATTTTCTTCCATTCTTCAATGGTTACATATTCTAATTCCTGGAGGTCTTTGGTGACTGACAATTTATTTAAACTTTCAATTCTTGCCATAGATTTTCAATAGAATTCAAGTCAGGACTCATTAAAGGCCATGGCAGAACTGTAATCTTCTTTTTCTGAAGTCACGTAGTCACTGATTTATATGTATGTTTGGGATCATTATCTTGGTGGAAAGTAAATTGGCGACCTAGATGGAAGATTTTGCACTGACAGTTGTAGATTTTCATCCAGAATTTTGATATAGTCTGCAGATTTCATTATTTCTCTTATTGTAATTAATTGTCCAGCCTCCTTTTGAGCTAAAACAACCCCAAAATATCATCAAACCACCTCCATGTTTTAATGTTGTCACTGTGTTCTTTGGGAGAATAGCCTCACCTTTCTTGCACCAAATCTTCTATACATCATTATGTCCAAAAAGCTCAGTTCTTGTTTCATTTCTCTATCGTACTTGTTCCCAAAAGCAATTTTCTTTGTCCAAGAACATTTTAGCAAAATTAAACCAAGCTACATTGTGATATGTTTTGTGTAGTGGGGTTTGTCATGGTCAGTTTCCATACAAGCTATTTCTATTTAAACAATGTTGTATTGTGTGAGTACTTACGCTGATACCCATCGTATTCAAACTTTTGATGATGTACTTCAAAACAACTCTTGGGTTTATGCTAACCTAGTGACACAGTTTTTGTGCAGTTCTCAGTAACAATTTGGGTTTTTTCTACACCTAATAAAATTTTCTGTTGTGCCAAACTGTTTAAACTTCTTTAGAACAGACTGTAAATTAAAAACAGTGTAGGACCAGGGATAGAGTCCTGGGGGACACTCGCATTAGTACAATAGGATCTAGATGGGTGGCAATTCAGGATAACTTTCATTTTATGATTTGATAGGAAAGACTGGATCAATTTAAAAAAGTGACTGGAGACACTGTAACTTTTCAGTTTGTGGAAAAGACCTGAATTCCATACCCTTTGGAGATGTCCAATGTTACAGCCCGGGCTTCACTGCTTTTATCTAAAGCATGATAGACTCTTTCCACAATTATTGTCAGTACATCAGCAGTTGACCTGGAAAAACAAAAGCCATATTGCTTAGCTGAAAAAAGGTCCTGTGATGAGAGAAGATGAACTAAATTGGTATTGATTAGAGAGTCTAGGAGTTTCCCAAAAAGAGGAAGAAGGCTAATAGTTGGATTGGTTGGACAGTTCACCAGTGTTCTTAAAAACTGGAACAACAGATGATGGCTTCCAGCAGGCAGTAAAGCAGGAGGGAGCAAGGCATTTATTATACAGTTTAGAGAGAAGAGGAGCCAATTTAGGAGCACACTTCTTAGTGACTATTACAGGGTCCACATGCTTTGGGAGGATTTAGGTTAGAGATGATACCAGAAACCATTTTAATCTCAATTTGAAATTTTTCTTGTTAAAAAGTTGAATAATTTAACACATTCAACATTATGGATAAAAATAAGTAATCTTATATAGCTTTTTTTTTAGACTTATCATGAGCAAAACAAATTCACAGATTTGGACAACAAAAAAGTAGATGTTGATAAGATAGCAAGGGTCACAAAGCACTCCCAATCAGGCTTCCCTTGTTTGGGGGTTTGGGGTTAGTACACACTGCTCCTGCATATATATATATATATATATATATATATATATATATATATATATATATATATATATATATATATATATACTCACTCATATATCTATACTCTCACAACATACATATAGTTATAGGCACATTTTTTATCACTAGAAATATAAGCTAGAAACTTCTTGTCCATATATTTATGTTTAGTTATATATCTGTACATTGCCAGAAACTACAACAGTTATGCACACTAATTGAAAAGAATGTGCTCAGATTACAGGTGTTCCAGAAATAGCCAGGCTTACTTTGTTTACCTTTCCTATCTCATTCACTTCAGCTTGTTTTCACAACATCCTTCTTTTGACATGATTACTTTTGATTATATCAAAAGAAAAATATTTGAAAAACTTACATAAAAGCCATGTATAAAGTTTACACTACCCATATCAGTAGAAAAGTAAAAAATCTTGACCCCTAGAAGATTGTCATCAAATCCAGGATACGTCCAGAAAGTATACATTTTACATAAGTTTGAATTAATTTGGCAGCCAATCAGAGAGGACTTTACTGCACAAACATGAACAGACACTCTTCGTTGAGGTTACTCAGCAATGAGATACTGTTGAGTAAGCTTTTGTACTGTTTGACTGCAGGTTTTTTTAGCAGATCACATGACCCACATTTGTCTGATCCTCATTATAATCTAGCTCCCTGTAAGTTATGGCTATTGTAGTTGAAAAGAAAGAAATCCCAAAAGAGAATGTTTTTGAAAACTCTAAGTCATGTTGCAGAAAATTTGAAATATGACACAGAAACTTAAACACACACTGGAATAGTGAAAAATACCTTCCAGAAGCTAAACTAAATATTCTTCTTCTTTATGTACTACATTCCCTTCAAGTTGTAGGCGATTATGGCTACCCACAACTTCCTGTCCATTGTAGTAAATAATCTTAATAAATTTTGTCTTTCTGTTATATCTCCTAAACCCTGTTTTGCCATCTATTTACTTAAGCTCTCAAAGTATGTTATTTTTTGTTTTCCTCTGTCTTTCTTGCTTTCAATCTGTCCTGTGAGTATCAGATTTTCCAAGTTCTCCTTCCTCATTATATGCTCCATATACTTCAGCTGTCTCTTCCTCAAAGATAAGGTAGAGAATTGAAGCAATAGAGATGTAGGCCTATATGCCAAGTGTACCATGGACAGAGCATGCTAGCAACAAGGTGGTTTTAAGGGAAATGGAAGCAAAAAAAGACACTTTTGCTTAGAATCAGTTGAAATTTTTTGTGAGACATAATGAGGGCTTGGAGAATACAACCCTCACAGAATATTTTAAAGGCAAGAAGGGCAGAGGGAAACAGCGAGTAATCTACCTAATGACAATGGGTGACAGAACATAGAAGTGGAGTGCTGGTAAGAGGACAAACATTCCTTGCAGCTACAAAGGATAGGCAGTTGTGGAGAAACATGATAACCACATCCTGAAGGGACATGCTACATTAAAAAATATGCTAGTATAAAAGCGAGATGACAAGTGAAAGAGACTAAGGTACCATTGGCCTTGGTAGGCTATTTTTTTTATTATTACCAAATGGTTAAAGATCAAACAGGTCTACTAAATTCTTATTTTCCATTGGAATTTAGAAGTCCCAACAAAAATACAACAACTACAGATGAATTTATAGTGTAATGTTTTCTTTTCTTTTATCAGTTGAAGCAATATAAAAAGTTGGATGATTATTGTACGCATGCTCATTTGAAGTAAAACTCACTCCATTGAATTGTTCAAAACAAAGCCAATACTTTTAATCAAAGACAGCAGCTAAGAATTAAGCAGTACAAATTGAATCAGTCTATATTTCTGAGATGTGGTATTATAATTATTTACATTGTTCAGTTTGAAATTCTAACAAATATCACCTGAAGAAGGCCAGAGTGTACAATGGTTGAAACGTCATGAATAAAAATGAGGACGACATTCTGAAACAATGTAAATAGTGTAAATAATTACAAAGGATATATTAGAAAAAAAATGGGAAGTCAATTTCAAAAAGTCATACTGTTCAAGAATTTATAAATTCAAGATGTTAGCAATAATGACTCTTGACATATTCCTATTTTTACCATCAGTAAATTGCCGTACCTTCTTAGGAAAGATAGTAGAGTAGTTTCCCATTGCTTTCTCCATAATGTGACATATACAGATTTCCTCTTCTTATAATTGTTGCCAAAGCTAGAGAGCCAAATATACGTTATTTAACCCATCAATGGAGGGAGAAGACATGAATTTCTTCCTTTCCCAAGAGTATTTGTGCAAAAGTGAATGCTGCAGCTATATTGGAAATTGAACTTGGCTCACTGATTCCAGTTCCTGTGCCAATAATGGCAATGCTGCCCACAGATCTTTTTACTGTTAGAAATGGAATTAAATATTAAAGTATAAATTAAGCCTCTTGCTAGGTTTTTACTTAAATTAAAATTTGCAAAAAATTATCTAGAAATTTCAAATATATGCAATATGCAATATTATTCATCAATATTTATGGATTTCTAAATTGTTAACTTTTATAAAAAAAAAATTTTTTATCATATAGTAAGGCAATAAAGCCAGTGAGATGCAGGGGTTACCGAGTGTGAAAAAAATATAAGAAAAATAATAGAATAATAAATAAAAGAAAAATATTATTTATGAGTGAGAATAATAAAAGAACAGGAATTAAGAAGCCAGAAGATAATGATTGACATTGTATTTACATTTTTGAAAGTTAATTGGAAAGCAAGAAGCCAGAGGAAAGTTCCATCAAGTGAGAAGTGCAACAAAAGAAACTGTTAGGATAGAATTTATGGTTACATCTCCTTATTTCCACTCTAAAATGATGAAACCTTTCTGCCAAATTTAGTACTGCACTTAAATTTATAGAGTCTAAGTACCAAAGAATAAAGTAATTTATTTGTTACAAATTACAAGAAATGTGATACAAGGCCATAAGTTATTCCAAATTATATTTGGACCTTTTTTGCATCAATTTAAAGTTCTTGTGGGCATTGATTGATTTTTTTTAAGACTTATTAACTATTTGTAGGTTATTTAAAGCCAGAAAATATTTTTACATAGTAAGATTTTTTTTTTGGAGATAATAATGATTTACTGATACAAGTTTTACTAAATTAATCCATAGCTGAAGGAGAAGAGGTGGATTTATAACTTTCCTAAGAGTATTTTCTCTCAAGTTGATATAATGAACCTGACTGGAATTGAAACTTTGCTTTCCAATTTTGAGCCATTATCTATTACACCATCTGTACATCCAAGTTTACAGCACTTGGTATTCCCAAGTGATCACCCATCTAGGTACTGATCAGGCTCGACATTGCTTATCTTCGGTAATTGTACAAGAACCAATGTTTCAACATGATATGATTGTAAGCCGATAAACCTAGATGTGAATTTATTATAATGGAATCAAAAAATAGCACATTTTCTATATATGTTTTGCCTTCAATTATTTGAGTTTTTAACTGAATTGAAATATAACTGAACTGAAAAATAAATTCCCCCAGCTATGAGTTAAATAACAGATTAGACTTTGCTCTTTAGCCTTGCATAGCAACCAGTCTAAGAGAAGGAGAACTTTAGAATCTAAATCATGCAGACAGTAACAGTAAAGCACGCCACTATTTTTTTTCATGCATGCAAAGCAATTCACAGATGGATAAAGAAAAGTAATCTGTAATATGTTTGGAAGAGATATTACAAAAACAAAGAAGGTGTATGAAATAATGTAAATTTTTTTATTTGAAGAGAAAAGATCTGAACTAAAGTCTTTTCAGTTTATACTATTTACATTGTTTGTGGCTGACCATATATGGAGGGAAAAGGGAGATAACTGCTCTCTGTGGGATGAGGTTGAAATAATAGACATTACTAGAAAATATGAATACGTGCATATGCTAGCTACAAAAATCTCCTATGCCAGTCAAGCATAATGAATACAATATTTATTTTTCTTCTTCTATACGTTGTGTCCCAAGTATTGACCACTTCATGTGCTTATTGATTATTAGAAATAGATACTTTGATGGCCAAGGGCTAGAATCACTTCACCAAAGCATTGAGTTTTGTTTCTGATAAATGAGTCTATTAAATGATATTTTCTAGGATTATAATTATGTCTCACTTCCTGTGGATGGGTAGTGAAACTAATTTGAAAATATTCCTCAATCTTGCTTTATGTCATAAAATATACTTTTCATTGTATCGTATTTCTCAGCTCTGACAACTTTATGGACCTTGAGATATACAACCAAAAAAGAATGCTTTAAAGCCTTTTCCCAATGTACTTGATGGATTTTTCAGAATGCACAGCAGATGATAGATTTCTTAGCCTGGCAGGTGAATTTCTAAAGGTCTTCAGGAGATCTGCTGTGGAGAAAGAAGGAAAAAAATGAACTACTTTCCAGTAGATATCGGCCAAGCAACAAACCAATGAGGAAGAGAGACTGCAATAAAAAAACAGATGCATAAAAAGCAGATGTCAAGTGAAAATATGAAGAGAATGACTGGGGAATAAGAACTGGGCAAATAGGCAAAAATAGAGCAGTGGCTCTTCATCTTTTCAGTTTTACTTTCCAATAATGAAAGCTTTTAAAGATATCAGACATGTTATTTCTTTGTTGTCATATTGTAAAGAGTCTATCTATCTATCTATCTATCTATCTATCTATCTATATATATATATATATATATATATATATATATATATTCAAGCAGGTTTGGTTAAATAATCTAGACATATCATGTCAATTAATTTTTGTTGTGATCCTTTCAAGTTTGTGGATTAATTTTTTGGTAGACTTAAAAAATTGAGTAAGAAAAATACCAAAATTTTCTTTCAAATAGATTTTATTTTTATATACATATGAGCAAAATCAAAAATGTTACTTCGCTAAAAACCTGAAAGAACATGTAAACTTTGAAATCTAGAATGCTGCATAAGCAGTAAAAAACTGAACAGTTGAAATGTTTTAAATTCACAGAAACACATAAATATACTCACAGATAAATTAACCCCATGAAGATGATCTGAAAATGAGATTGAAAGTACTTGGGAAAATAAAAGCTATTCAGAAGAAAATTTTCGTATTTTTCTTACACAATTTTCTAAGTCTACCAAAAAATTAATCTGCGAACTTGAAAGGAGCTGAAAAACTAATTGGAATGATATGTCTAAATTATTTAACCAAATCTGTTTGAATGAAAATATGCTGCCTAAATATACAATATATATATATATATATATATATATATATATATATATATATATATATATATATATATATATATATATATAGATGACAAAGATCACCTATAGTATTTCTGGAAGATAATGTTTTTAAAGCAAACAGTCCATGTAATTATATTGCTCCATACCAAAAAATACAGCATTAATAATAACATTGGTTTACAAAAGAATTGATGCAAGTATAAAAGATATTAGAGCTGATTTCAGATACAATATCCATTTTTGCTCAATTTCTCAATTAATTGATTGGTTTGTATTTTAATGCCTATCAAATTTTGCAGGATATTTAAAGTCAACAAAGATTCTTAGATTGTAAGAATTTAAAGGTTATAACAATTATTTACTGAAACAAGTCTTAATTACTAATTAAGACATAGCTAGAGGGTAGAAGAGGTGGGTTCATACCTTTCCTAGCGTATTTGCATGTAAGTGAATATAACAAACCTGACTGGAATTGTAACTCAGGTCTCCGTTATACAATTCTGAGATGTTATTCCCTACCCGACTTGCATATGCAAGCTTAACAGCATATATATATATATATATATATATATATTCAAGCAGGTTTAGAAATATGTCTATTTATTTTAGTTTTAATCCTTTCAAGTCCACAAATTAATTTCTTGGTGGCTGTAGAAAATTGATCAAGAAAAATAACAAGGTTTTCTTTCAAATAATTTTTATTTTCTCAAGTATGTTCAATCTCATCTGAGACCATCTTCAGGGGGTTAAAATATCTGTGAATGTGTCTACAGTAGCTCCATAAATTCAAAATATTTTTTTCACTGTTCATTTACAGAATACAACCATTTTATATATTGCATACATCTTTATGATTTTGTGGCAATTCTCATAACTATACATATGGTCAATGTTTATTTTTTTTTAAGAATTTTATAAGCAGTTACATATGTCTACAATGGCATCAGACATTTCAATCATCCAAAGATGCAATAATAAGGCTGATTCATTCTGTGACATACAAAAGGGATTTCATGAAAGTTGCAGTGCAGCAAACAATTAATCATCTCTTGAGAACTGCTTACTATCACTGTTTTTAAAGAAATGCTGGGCCCCATTGTAAACCCTGTTTTAATAAGATGACTGCATAATTTAATGGCAAGAAAGTAACCTTCAAATTTGCTGTTCCTGTGATATGGAGGGAATCACAAAATCATGCAGATGATTGATATTTTTTGTCTAACAAAATTGCCTCAGGGTTCTTGATAGGCTCCAGAGGTGGATATGCAATGTAGTTGGCCCTGCCCTGGTGTCTCGTCTATAGTCACTTTCTCACAGACGTGTCGTCACCTCCCTCTGTCTGTTCTACAAATACTTTCATGGAAATTGCTCCAAGGAGCTGCATTCGCTGGTTCCCAGACGTCATGAGTTCCAGCACCTTACAAGGCTGACATCCCGCTCTCACCCCTTCACTGTTGAAACTTCTTAAATGTAGCCGTCTCTTCTACTCTGATAGCTTCATGTCTCGCACCTCTCGCCTGTGGAACTCCCTTCCCTATTCCTGTTTCCCTGTGAGCTATAATCTCCAGCTATTCAAGTGTAATGTCAATTGACATCTCCAATTGCCTTGATCTATCCACTACCCTCATCCTTTCTTCTATCACTCCTATCTGATCTTGCTCTAAACTTTCTGTAACCCTTTGCATCCTAGTGGCTTCCTGCCTTGCTTGGGGTGAAATGCTTAAAAAAAGAAAAAAAAAAAAATTTCCTCAGCTATGAGACATTTACCCTAACCAGATGGTCTCCCTGTCCCCTAGTTCCACAGCAAATAAGGATCTACCTTCATCAGATGAGGAAAGGCTCTCACTGGAGGATCCTGCCAAGTCTCTTCTTATGACAATGTCTCTGTTTATTCAGGTGTAAGTGGCAGAGATCCCACTTGACCACCCAGAAAAATCTGAATGACCTTGTCCATGATTTGTACCTATCTAAACAGTATTCAGATCTCCTGGCATCCTGGATAAAACCATAATACCTGGACAGGGCAGATGTAACTATCAGCCATTTCAGGACAGGAGTTTTCTGCAATCTTCAACATAGCAAATATATTGTGCAACTGCAAAAATGTATTTGGTTTATACACCTCCCTTGGCTTTCTACATTTTTCATAGACACTTCCAAGCAAAGTCTGAAGGCTGTGCTCCTGCACAATGGGAATAGATATCCCAGCATTCCATTTGCTTACTCAGTTCATCTGAAGTAGTTGTATGATAATTGGAAGCTGTTAAGTACAAGCAGTAGCAGTGGAGTCTCTGTAGGTATCTCAAGGTCATTCGATTCCTTATGGGTATGCAAGCTGGCTTCATGAAGTACTATTGCTTTTTCTGTCCCTAGGACAGTTGGGCTGCATCCAAGCACTACAAGCAGAAAAACTGGTTGTGTAGGAGCACTTTCATACCTGGGTAACACAGTGGCCAAGAAAATCCTCTGGTGGACATGGACAAGGTGCTTGTCCCTCCTCTTCATATCAAGCTTTGTCTGATGAAGAACGTAGGCCCTGGACAACAATGTCAGAGCTTTCCAGCTCTCAGCTCTGTTAAGCTCAGGGTGGGTGTCTTTGTCAGACCTCAGATCTGAGAGGTATTAAAGGATTAGGAATTTTAGAAGATTCTTACCCTCAAGGAACTGAGAGTCTAGGAAGCATTTAAGTCAATCTACTATGACTTCATTGGTAACATGCAGGTACTAGATTACCAAGAGTGTGTTGAGAAGTTGTTACAGGCTTATGAGGAGATGGGGTGTCAAAATGTTAAACAAGATTCCCTTTCTCCACTCTCATCTCAACTTCTTCCCTTGGAGCAGTGAGTGATGAGTATATGGAGAAAGTTTCTACCAAGATATTATGAAGATGAAGAACAACTATCAAGGCAAGTGGAACCCCAGAATGATCAGGGACTTCTACTGGGTGCCCTTGTGCAATATCCAAGAGAATGGCCAAAAGAATTCACCTCTGACTGTTTATTGTACTATGATATGTGTATATTATATTATTCAAATAATAGTGGTATTTAGTTCTGTCAGTGTTCTGTCTCTTTGTTGGGTTTATTTTTTAATATGACTTTTTAAATATTGTATGAAATAAACATATATTATGAATATAT